GTAAACATCAAAAGCATCACTTCAAACAATAAAGTTGATCCATTATATGAAAATATCTGGACACGACCTCCAAAAAACTACACTACAAAAAATTGTAAAAAATTGTAATTGAGTTTTAAATTTAATATAATTTTACACCTGATGATGGTTTAATAAAACCGAAACATGTTGTAACTGTTCCAATTGTAAATCGATTATTCGATATGGAACACAGAATTATATTTTAATTATTTTAATTATCTTATTTTAAATACATTGTGATTTGACGGAATAACCAAATAATTTAATTTTAATCGTGGTTACCTTTTTTTTTGAAATGGAACCCTTTTTTTAACTAGAATTGTAACAAGATTTGTGATGAGTTCACAGAAAACATTCATTTTTTATAATCCATTACTGGCTGTAAGTCTAGGTTAAACAAATCAATTAAACTTGATAACTACATAACAGTTATTTCATAATTGGTATCTTAGCACTTAATGTATATTCCATTAGACACTGTGTACATTTCATTTGCACCTTTTTTATATATTTTAAAATGAGGTAATTATTTGAGGTCGCAAGTTAGGTGTATCACCACATTACTTATCTAGGTTCTGAAAACTGTATTTGGAGCTAACGAATCATTCTCTTTGGTTTATTGTACCTTTATAACTTATTGTGCATCACATTTTTCAAGATATTGGCATTGTTTATTGCAGAATGTCTTTATCTTTCTTCAGAATTTCCTGTCATCAATTTACATTCTTCTCCTGTTGAAATTATGTGACTCTTACCGTACCCATATTGAATTCTAGTTACCTCTCAGTCCCAAACCACTTTCTTGTTTGAATGCTAAGAGCTGTTTTTCCAGCCTGTGGTGGGCAGGTGACGAGGCCTGGCATCATCGAGACTCCTAACTTCGCGGGGCAGTACTCTGAAGAAGCAAACTGTACATGGAACATCACAGCACCTCCTAACCATGTCATATTACTCAGGTAGGTGCAGTTAAAAGTAGTTCCACAATACAAAATGTTTGTTGGGGAGTTGGTAGTTATTTAATCATACAGCCCTGAATACAGAGGTTTTATGTTCCTCCAAAATGTTACTAAGCACATTCAAGACCACATGTCATCACAACCCAGAAGACCACAGTTGACATTTTCACCACCCTTATATGGTAGGTCTTCAGTGGGTCAGGTGCTGTCATAGAACGCGACTGTTTATTGTTGGGTTCGAAGAGTTCGATCCAATTCACACCTTCACAATCTGTTACAGTGAAACCTCTATCCATCGTTCCCCGAACTATCGTTTTCCCGGATGAATCGTCCGTTTTGTTCGGTCCCTGATACGTCCCATATAAAATAATGTTACGTTTTCTCATTTTATCGCTTCGATCGTTCAAAAATCTTAGTCCTGGCCCACAATTTTCCCGCATTGGTCGTTTCTGAGAAATTATAACAAAATTTACGCATTGTTTTTAGAATTAGAATGCTGGGTTTTGAGATAAATTAATATCGGAATACACTGTAGCAGTATCCCATTATGTCTCCCGTCCAGCAGCGAGTCGTTTGGAATGCGTTGTGCGGGCTGGCGGGGGGTCCATTATCAGAAATGTTATGAGTTTACGTTATCCCCAACTCATAATTCTTTCCAGCGGTGCCAGATGGCGTGAGCAGTGTGAATTTCTTCAGGAATTCTTTCATCATAAGTACAAAGGAAAGGCGGGTGACACTTTTCATTCTTCTGGTTCATCTCGTTTCCAGTGGTTCAGTGTCTTCTACAGCTACTTTTCGTCGAGTTCGGCAGTAAAAGTGAAGTCGTTCTCTTATGCGCATAATATTAGTGAACGTGACGAGGAAAACATTTTGAACGTGGAAAGGGCTCTGTTTGGCCTAAAACGTA